CAGATGACATGATTGTATACATAGAAGACCCAATAGTATCCATGAAAAAACTTCTCGAAGTAATAAACACATATAGTAAAGTAGAAAGATACAAAATTAACTTACAAATATCTATAACATTTTTATATACAAACAATGAGCAGAGACAGAACTGAAGAATGTAATTCCATTTACCATAGTCACAAGAAGTATAAGATACGTAAGAATAAAACTAACTAAGGTAGTCAAAGACCTCTACAAGGAAAACTAGGAAAACCTTAAAAAGGAAATTCAAAAGGACACTAAAAAGTGGAAGGACATCCCATGTTCCTGGATTGGCAGAATCAATATAATCAAAATGGCAATCCTACCCAAATTAATCTACATGTTTAATGCAATCTCTATAAAATTACAAGAGACATTCTTCACAGATCTAGAAAAGTCAATCATAGAATTTGTCTGGAACCATAAAAAGACCCCATATTGCCAAAGACATCATGTACAAGAAGACTGGAGTGGGGAGCATCTCACTTCCTGACCCCAAAATACATTAGAAAGCTGTGATAATCAAAACTGCATGATATTGACACAAAAATAGACATGAGGATCAGTGAAAAAGAGTAAAGACTTCAGAAATAAACCCCATAACATACAACCAACTCATCTTTGACAAAGGGTACCGGTTAATCCAGTGGGAAAAGGGAAACATCTTTTAGCAAATAATGTTGGAAAAACTGGGTATCCACCTGCAGAAAGATGAATCTGAACCCCTATCTGTCACCACTAAGAAAAATCAACTCAAAGTGGATCAAAGATCTAAACTTAAGACTGCAAACTATAAAACTACTGGTGGAAAACACTGGAGAAACTCTGGGAGATATTGGGGTAGGCAAAGACTTCGTAACAAATAGACAGATAGGATTACATCAGATCAAGGAGTTTCTGCACAGCAAAGGACACTGTCATTAGTGTGAAATGACAATCTTTGGAATGGGAGAGAATTTTTGTTAACTGTGCTTTAGATAAAGGACTGATAACCAGAATACACAGGGAACTCATAGCTTACTTGGAAGAAAATGATTAACACAATTAAAAGATAGGAAAATGAGCTGAATAAACAGCTCTCTAAGGAAGACATATGAACAGTCAAAGAGCATATGAAAAAAGGCTCAACATCTCTCATCGTAAGGGAGATGCAGATCAAAACCACAATGAAATACCACCTAACCCCAGTCAGAATGGTGAAGATTAAAAAATAAAAATAATAATAAGTGCTGGAGGGGATATGGTGAAAGGGGAACACTCCTACATTGATGGGAATGTAAATTGGTCCAGCCACTGTGGAGAATGATATGGAGGTTCCTCAAAGACCTTCAGATAGAACTACCATATGATCCAGCAATTCCACTCCTGGGTATCTACCCAAAGAACAGGAGAGCACTCAGTAGGAAAAGCGCTTGCACAACTATTTTCATTGCAGCATTATTCACGATTGCTAAGACATGGAACCAACCCAAATGTCCACAGACAGATGAATGGATTGAAAAATTGTGGCACACATACTCCATGGAATACTATTCGGCCATTAAAAAAATAAACAAGCACAACAAGGCCCTGGAATTTGATAGAAAGTGGATGAATATGGAAGATTTGTTGCTGAGTGAAGCAAATCAAGCTATGAAAGAGAAACATTGTATGTCTCCATTGAAGTATACCAACTGTCCATACTCTATGGTAGAAACTGAAAGACTGGAGAACATAAAAGTATTAAAAATTGTAATGGACACTAGAGACAAAGTGGAAAGAGAGTGTGGGAGGGAAAGAACATAGGAAAGGAAATTTGGGGGAAAATGGAGAGGTAAGACACTCGTGGGACACAGATAAGGGTTTTACACAGATAAGGCTTATTATCTTTTGACGAGGATGTGTATAATAATCTCAACTAGGCTGGACTGAGGTATATATCATGCTGGGTAAAGTCTCTTCACAACCTAAATGATGTATAGTGATTTAATGTATGAATAATAAAAAAATAAATAAAGTTAAATAAAATTAAAAGAATAAAAAGAAAAACATGCCTATGTATGTGTGCGTGCCCAAATCCTGAGAGGAAAATGGAGAAGGGATTGTGGCATGGCCATATTCCTGGCGGTGGGGTGGGGTGGGGTGAGTTCTCATTTTCTCTCTTTATCTCTCTCAGGCAAGCGCATAAGCCCTATGGAAAATCTAAAAAAAAAAGATTTTTAGTGCCAGAGGGACTTAGTACAATGCATCAGTAGGTTTAGAAATATAAACAGAGGGGGGACCAACAGTTGGTGTAGTGGTTATGTTGCTGGACTCCCATGTAGTACACTGCAGTTTGAGTCCCGGACCTGGTGGCTTAAACTCACACTGGGTGCGTGTGCGTGCTTGCCCAAGATCCCGAGAGGAGAATGGAGGAGAAGGGATTGCAGCATGGCCATCCCCCCTGGAGGTTGATTTCTCGCTTTCTGTCTTTCTCTGTCTTTCTGGTGAGCACACGCACTCTATCTCCAAAAAAAAAAAAGAAAAGAAAAAAAGAAAAGAAAAATGAAGAGGGGGATGGTAGGTGGTATGGTGGTTAGGTGCTGGACTCTCACAGGGCTGACTTCTGTTCAAGTCCTGAATCTGGCAGCTTGAAAATCACACCAGATGTCTGTGTGTGCATGCCTAAAAACGTCCCCTCTGAGGGATGCTTTCTCACTTTCCCTCTCACTGTCTCTGTCTGTCTCTCTCTGGTGAGGTGGCAAAAATAAAAAATAAAAGAAATATGGGTAAACATGCGAATCTGGTCTGAGGGACCTGGGAAAGAATGAAAGTGTAAAGTAGGAACTTTTTCAGGAGTTTCAAAAACTCAAAAAGATTGGACTGGCTTTTTTCTGCCATGATGTGTGAGCTGGGGGCAGAAGGGATTCCTGGTATTTCCTCACATGTCCCTCTCAAAAGGGTCTGGGCACCAAAGGATATTCTGGTTCTCTTCACAGTCCAGGTAGGGGCCGGAAAAGATACTTACTTGAGCTGAATCGGCCTCATTGGAGGAATCTCCCTCACTGCCTGTACTGTTCTAGGAGAAAGACACAGAGATTAGATGGGGAGCGGGTGGCACAATGCAGCTTCCTGTCCGTTTCCTTCAGAGACATTGCTTTCCTGGACCAGCAGGTGGCATGGAGGTTAAGATGGCTGGTTCCTGGATGGGCGACTGCGCGGTTTGAGTTCTGGACCTGGCAGCTTGAAAATCACACCCGGTATATGTATGTGCATTGTGTGTGCAAAATCCCAAGAGGAGAATGAAGAAGGGACTGCAGCGTGGCCACCCCTCCTAGGAGATGATTTCTCGCTTTCTCTCTCTGTCTCTCTCTGGTAAGTGCACAAGCCCTACAACAAACAAACACAACAAACAAACAAACAAAAAAGAACAAATATTGCTTTCTTAAAAGCCAAATCTAGGAACCAGCAGTTGGCCTAATGGCTATGTTGCTGGAGGACTCCCATGTAGTTGACTGCGGTTCAAGTCTTGGACCTGGTGGCTTAAACTCACACCAGGCACGTGTGCATGCATGCCCAAGATTCCGAGAGGAGAATGGAGAAGGGATTGCGGTGTGGCCATTCCCCCTGGGGGGTGATTTCTCGCTTTCCCTGTCTTTCTGGGAAGCGCATGCACCCTACAGCAAAAAACCTCTCTAAAAAAAGGACAAAAAAAAAAAAAAAAAAAAAACAGTCTTGTCACCCTGGAGGTTAACATTTGGTGACATTTGGGTACAGCATTCCAGAGTGTGTCATGCGTGCCTTTGATCGATCTTTGCACATGGGTTTGTGCCTTGCTTATGTCTAAAAGTCAGGTTGTCTGAAATGCAACTAATATACAGTAACACCCTTCTCTTTTAGTGACTATGGTTCTATGGATTCTGACAAGTGTATTTCACCACGCAGCCACCCCCTGAGTCCTAAGTCATGGGCATCCTTGCACATCAGTGGAAATAACCTAAACACCCATTTCATTAAAGAGAAGCATGGAACGGTTGTGCCAGAAGGTTTTTAGCCAGTCCCCTGGGGTTGGGCACAGAGCTTGCTTCCCATCCATTACTCTTGAACACCCACCTTCTTCCTCTGCTCGGAGGTGGAGGGGGCCCTGACCCCTCGTGCAGTGACAAATCCACAGGTGGGCATGAGCATGCTTTTGTGCCCTTCCACCAGACCCCAGCGCCCCCATCTCACTAAGGCCCACCCTGTCCCTCTCTCTTGCCCGCTGTAGGGAACCGGCTGGATGAAGGCTCAGACGTGGAGTCAGAGCCCGACCTCCCGCTGTTCCCACCTCCTCCTTCGTGGTGGCTCCTCCCCTGCTCACGCCTTCCTGAGCTTCAAAACCAGAAACTCCACTCCCACACAGCCCATTGCCGTGTCTTCTCCTCCTCGGCCAGGCCGTGAAGAATCCATGGGCTCTGCGTAGTCATAGTTTCTGCCCAGGGTTGGTGCAACCCAGAATGGGACAGTATGGCAGCCCGTTCCCAGGTGTTGTGTGTTGGGGCTGGTTGGTCCTGCCTTGCTGGAGACATTTGATCTAGGCCTTCTGTGCCCTCTCCACCCAATCCCAAGCCTTACAGGTTGCTATGCTGATACCTGAACTGCATCCTTTCAGAGGGGATTTGGGGCGACTTGGGGTAAAGAGGTGGGGCTGTGGGGTGGTAGTACTGCCTCTGCGGGAAGTCGTAGGTGTTGGGACTTCTCTCTTTCATGGATTTCCCTTCCAATCCCCTCTTGATGTATTTTTATTCTAACTTCCTGGTACTTACTCTTATGAAATAAGACATCACTATTTAAAAAAAATAAAAATTTCTAGAGGGCAAATTCACTCATGGGATAGGACAAGTGAGAAAGCCTCTCCCCCCCACCCCAGGAAGGATGGCCATGCCACACTCTCTTCTACTTCATTCCCCTTTGGAGATTGTGAGCACAACACACACGCACTCTGCATGTTTTTCAAGTCGCCAGCTTGAGACTTGAATTGCATAGTCGGCCATGTGGGATTCAGCTACCTTAACTGCTATGCCACTTAACCGACCTGGGACTCCCCTTTTCTGCAACTTTAGAAAAATAGGACTAGGCATGGAAATATCTAGTGGGTAGTCGTGATTTCTGTTACCACACATTGATCTTGTTGGTGTTTGATCGTGTCTGGTTCCTGATGTGAACAGTAGGAAAGGAACAGAGTTTGAAGACAAAAAGTAGCTTCTCTGGCAAGGCCTAGGAAAAACCAGAAATCAATGGAATAAATGAAAGGATCCTGCCTGGATGTTCAACAGTGGAGATGGAAGATTCAGTCCTGATGGGGCCGACTCTTGAGGGAATTGTATGGTTGTGGCTTTTTGATATATATTTGGTTTTCCTTCCTGGTTCTTGTCTCAAGTATGTGGCCTTTTAGTTTGGTTCCTGAAGGAGCTTTGGATCAGCTACAGATAAAGGTGAAAGACAGTTCCTCTTCCCATCTACCCCAAGGCAGGTCATAAAATCTCTATCTTGCCTGACTTTTAAGACTTTCATTTCAGAAGAGTCCTGCCCCTCCCCAGGGGGGAAAATACCACATAGCGAGGTCAAGAATTTGGACAGCTTGAGTGCTTCTCTACCCCGTCTGCTAACATTTCCTGTCTATGCAATGAAGTGTCCCTCTGACCCCAAAAGAACAAGGTTTGTGGAGCTTCTGGATGTGTGGAGGCTCACAGGAATGAAAGCAAGAAACTTCCATGTGCCAGTGTTACTGGACTAATGTAAGGACTGGGCCTGACTATGGTACCACAAGCCAATTTTTGAAGCAATGAGAGTTTGCATAGAGGGAATCCTTGTAACAGAAGATAGCCACTGGGAGAGGAGAGCGGAAGAGTCCAAGAATCCCAAAGTACTGTCATCTCCATGACTGAGGGCAAACAGGGCTTTTATTTTTTTTATTTATTTTTAAAATTATTATTAGTTTTTCATTTGCCAGAGAGTATGTGTGCTCATTAGAGGGAGACTGAGCTAGGGAGAGGAAGAAAACATTCCCTAATGGGGTGCTGTCATACTGTAAACCCTCCTCCTCCATTCTCCATCCTTTCAGGATGTAGGCAACACGTACACGCTTGCCTGGCATGTTTTTCAGACCACTGTGTCCAGGATTTTTTACTTATTTTTTTTTTGAGAGGTTTTTGCTATAGGGCACGTGTGCTCGCCAAACAGAGAGAGACAGAAAGACAGAAAGCGAGAAATCACCCCCCAGGGGGGATGGCCAAGCTGCAATCCCTTCTCCTCCATTCTCTTCTCAGGATCTGGGGCACGCAAGCAAACACGCCTGGCGTGAGTTTTAAGCCACCAGGTTCAGGACGCGAACCTCGGTCGACTACATGGGAGTCCAGCGACATAGCCATTATGCTAACTGCTGGTCCCTAGGATTTTTTAAAAACATTATTTTCTTTAATTTTATTCATCATCATCATTATTGCTATTATTAATTTGACTAGAGAGAGACAGAGAGAGAGAGGGCCATCGGGCTGACTCCCAAACAGGGCATTTAAACACAGGTCAAGAATGAATACGAGAATGTGAAGGTCTCAGGAATGCAGGGACTTTCAAGAATAGTTTTTACGATGTCATCTTTGATGGGTGGTGCTGTTTTCTTGGAGCAGAGCAGTCTATGGGAGGGTCTGGAACAAGATGTTATCATCAGGTCTATTCTTAGCAAAACAAACAAAACAGGGAGCAACCCTGTAGCCTAGCAGATAAAGGACCCAGATCCCATATAACTGACTGTGGTTCAAATCTCAGCCCTAACGGCTTGAGAAACATGCTGTGTGTGTGTGTGTGTGTGTGTGTGTGTGTGTGTGCCCAAATCCTAACAGGATGGAGACAGGGAGGAAGGATTGTGGCATGACCATGCCCCATTGTAGGGTGCTTTCTCCTTGTCTCTCTCTGATAAACACACAGGCCCTCTAGCAATTTAAAACAGGGGGAACCAGCAGTTAGCGTAAAGGCTATGTCGCTGGACTCCCATGTAGTCAACTGTGGTTCGTGTCCCGGACCCGATGGCTTAAAACTCTCGCTGGGTGCGTGTGCGTGCCTGCCCAAGATCCCGAGAGGAGAATGGAGGAGAAGGGATTGCGGCATGACCATCCCCCCTGGGGGGTGATTTCTCGCTTTCTGTCTCTCTGTCTCTGTCTGTCTGGCGAGCGCACGTGCCCTATAGCAAAAAATCTCTCAAAATAATAATTGCATTGTAAACAAAAAAAAAAAGCAAAAGAAACTACACACAACTCAAGGCCTAAAACTGTTAGAACACCCAGATCAGATCCCTTCAGTCTTTAACCACATGTTGCTTGTGACTGTGTTTTGAGAAAGTTGAGCAATTAGGGCTGTCACAGTGTGGTTACTACAGGACTACGATCACATCGTGCAGGAAGTATCCATCAGTCAGGAGAGAAACAGCATGGCCTTACCTTATTGTTTAAAGTAAATGACCGTGGATTCTAGGCGAATTTCTTGTTTTACCTGGTAAATATTATCATTAAGGCTAAACAAAGAAAAATGTTGTCTTCTCAGGAGCTGGTATCACTGGGAGGATGACATACTCCAACTCCACAGGGACCGAAACTCCTATGCTTAAAAACTTTCCAGACCGAACCCTCCCTATGAATCTCTTTTTTCTGGCTGTTTATCTGTATTCTTTAAAACACCCTTTATCGTTATTGTGGTATGGCTTCTGTGATGGTATCCAGGTTCTTGGTGTTTTGGACAAAGAGTTGAAAGAAATACACCAATAATGAAAGGAAAAGGTAGTTTATTTAGTAAAAGGGAAAGTACACTCCTGAGAGGTAGAAGTGGACCTGAGTGGGCAAAGAGTGGATCAAAAGACCCTGGCGATTACATTCTCCAAAGTTTGTAATATTTTTAAAAAGAATTATGTATTTAATTCTATTTGTCATTTTATTATTATTTTTTAACTTTGTTACTGAGCACGCATGCTCACTAGAGAGAGAGAGAGAGAGGGAGAGAGAGAGAAAGGGAAAGA